GAACTTTGCTGCATCACCAATGACTCATGTATTCATGTCCATCCTCCTCTGAGCCCACTTAGCTGAACCTCTGAGGCCCCTCAGAGCTTCACAGTGGTTCTCATTACAGGAGAACTTCAAAGTAAAGCTCTTTTTAAAAGTCTAGCCCCAAACCTCAGGTGTCACAGAAACACAAGAACCCTCCTCATACTGACTTCTCTGTAGCTCGCACACCATCACCATCACACATTCAGCTGAGAAAATCAATGTTGGTCTCACCTAAAGTGACTTATTATTTTAGTCAGTGTGTAAATTTGAGCTAACTGTGTTCTGAGCTATACCTTTTTATTTTAAATGTAACTAGAGAACAGTGATCGCAAAAGACTGAAACTTCCTGAAGAAGCTGAAACTGAGTTATTCAGTCTAAAAACAATAGAACACTAAATAAAAGCTAAAAGGAACAGAACATTAGATAAAGGCTAAATTAAAAAAAGCTTGCTAACAGCATTTGCAAGTAGCAAAATGCTAGCTACAAGTAGCAAAACTATCTTAAAGTAGCAAATGTTTAGCTTAAACAAGAAACAGCAAGTAGCAAAATGATAAGTTGAAGCTAAAAGCAGCAAATGCCAACTAAAAGTGCATAAGATTAGCTAAAAGTTAAATATAAAGGCCTAGAAAAATATCATAATCTAGATTAAAAAACAAAATATTAGCTTAAAGTGGAATAAGACCAATAATCTCAGCGAAAACCTTTTTACATGTAATTGAAGATATCTCAATTTATATAAATGGGGAAAGTTATCCAAATAAATCTAATTATTGTGAAAAGAGTCAACAATACAAAAAATAAGTGATAGCACGCATCTCTTAAATGAGCAGTAGGTTTTAATAAATGAATTGTTTAAATTGTCCAAAGTGTGCAAAAGTTAGATTACAAAAATGCAGGCTGCAAAACATATAAAAGAGAAAAGCAAAAATGTGAACCATCATTTTCACAGTGAGTCATAAAATTCACCAGTTAAAAACATTATGACCTGTCTGACATGATCGCTGTGCCACTTTTGTCACAGTGTCAGCGCACCGCTCTAATCTGAGGAGTAAAGCTGTTGAATAAATATCAAAGCCAAAAACTGTACACAGGTTTGTAGATTATTTACAGAAAAACACAACTCAGGAGTCAAACCTGCACTGACGATCTGGTGGGCAGCGAGCTGCTGAATCAACAGCTCCATGTTGGGGTCATGATGGGGGTAGAGCTCCCAGCGTGAAATCCCCAGATGGAAGCGCAACCATGGAGGATGGCTGTCACTGCTTCTGTTCCACTGGACGTCCCCAGATTCTTCCAGAGTGTCACTCTCCCTGTAAAAAGACAACGTGACGAAACACCAATGGTATGGGAGCTGCCTTACAAAGCTCTTGTCTATGGTACTGCAAGAGTTTTGTGAAGATCAAACGATCAAACCCTACGATTAAAAGAAATAATTCTTCTCCCCTTCAGAACAAAAAAAAAGTCACGAAGGTGAAGACGGATGAGCCATGAAAGTACAGAAAGGTGAAGCAGCAATAGAAAGCAGGTTTACTCAGCTCTACTATGAAATTGATTCACAATGGGATTAATGC